CGTGTAGAATCAATCTCTTCTATAAGAACGGTGGTTCTGGCTGAGAGAAGGTTCCTGGGTACACCATGTGTAGAATCAAACTCTTCTACAAGAATGGTGGTTCTGGCAGAGATAAGGTTTGTGGGTACACCATGTGTAAAATCCATCTCTTGTATAAGAATGGTGGTTCTGGCAGAGACAGGGTTTCTGGGTACACCATATATGTAGAATCAATCTCTTCTCTAAGAATGATGGATCTAGCAGAGAGAAGGTTTCTGGGCACACCATTAATAGAATCAATCTCTTTGATAAAATTGGAGGTTCTGGCTGAGTGAAGGTTTGTGGGTACACCATGTGTAGAATCAATCTCTTCGATAAGAATGGAGGTTCTGGCAGAGAGATGGTTTGTGGGTACACCATGTGTAAAATCAACCTCTTCAATAAGAACAGTGCTTTTGGCTGAGAGAAGGTTTCTGGGCACACTATGTGTAGAATCATCTCTTCTATAAAAACGGTGGTCCTGGATCAGAGAAGGTTTGTTGGTACACCATGTGTAGAATCCATCTCTTCTACAAGAATGGTGATTCTGGCAGAGAGAAAGTTTCTGGGTACACCATATATGTAGAATCAATCTCTTCTCTAAGAATGGTGGATTTGGCAGAGAGAAGGTTTCTGGGCACACAATGTATAGAATCAATCACTTTGATAAGAACGGAGGTTCTGGCTGAGAGAAGGTTTGTGGGTACACCATGTGTAGAATCAATCTCTTCGATAAGAACGGAGGTTCTGGCAGAGAGAAGGTTTAAGGGTACACCATGTGTAGAATCACCTCTTCTATAAAAACGGTGGTTCTGGCTCAGAGAAGGTTTGTTTGTACACCATGTTAGAATCAATCTCTTCTATAAGAATGCCGGTTCTGACGAAGAGAAGGTTGGTGGGTACACCATGAGTAGAATCATCTTTTCTGTAAGAACGGTGCTTCTGGCTGAGAGAAGGTTTCTGGGTACACCACGAGTAGAATCAAACTCTTCTCGAAGAATGGTGGTTCTGGCAGAGATAAGGTTTGTGGATACACCATGTGTAGAATCAATCTCTTTTATAAGAATGGTGGTTCTGGCAGAGAGAGGGTTTCTGGGTACACCATATGTGCAGAATCAATCTGTTCTCTAGTAATGGTGGATCTGGCAGAGAGAAAGTTTCTGGGCACACCATGGATAGAATCAATCTCTTCGATAATAACTGAGGTTCTGGTTGAGAGAAGGTTTTAAGGGAAACACCATGTGTAGAATCAATCTCTTCAATAACAACAGTGGTTCTGGCAGAGAGGAGGTTTGTTGGTACACCATGTGTATAATCAATCTCTTCGATAAGAACGGAGGTTCTGGCAGAGAGAAGGTTGGTGGGTACACCATGAGTAGAATCATCTTTTCTGTAAGAACAGTGCTTCTGGCTGAGAGAAGATTTCTGGGCACACCATGTGTAGAATCATCTCTTCTATAAAAATGGTGGNCCTCTTCTATAAGAACGGAGGTTCTGGCTGAGAGATGGTTTGTGGGTACACCATGTGTAGAATCGATCTCTTCGATAAGAATGGAGGTTCTGGCAGAGAGACGGTTTGAGGGTACACCATGTGTAGAATCATCTCTTCTATAAAAATGGTGGTT